GAGGGGGCTCGGGGACCCCGGGCCAGCCCTCGGTGCGGGGCAGCGTCTCTCCCTGCTGCAGCTCAGCATCCCCCCCCTCCTGTGGGACAGCATCCCCTCTTCCTGCACCCCTCTTGAGAAGGCAGCATCACTCCCTGCTTGTGGGGCAGGACCCCCCTCCCCTTGCAGAGAAGCTTCATTCCCTTCTGGAAAGGCAGCACCGGTCCTGGTGGGGCAGGACCCCCCTCCCCTTGCAGAGTAAGGGTTCCTCGCCCCCCAGGCGGTGCCCAGGGGCAGCAGACACACAACCCACCAACCGCACGATGAGGCAAAGGCCTTCCCAGGGACTGAGCTGTGGTTTCCAGTTTGGATCCCGGCGCACGCCCAGGAGGAAGAGACCACTGGCATTTGCAGATCCAGCATCTGCCTGCCTATGTGGGAAGGAAGGAGAGGGGTCTTGCTCTTAGAAGCTGCTCTTTTTTTTTCTTTGTCACACCTGGAACCCTTGCAGCTGTGGGCACACACTTTTTGGGGCCCTGCAGGAGCAGCACCTTCAGAGCTGGGGGTAAAGGACAACCAGGCCTTGGGTTTAAACTAATCTTTGCCCAAAACACCAGAGAAAGTGCCTCTTCGGTATGAGCCTTTTTCCTCCAAAGCAGCTGAAATGTGACTTAAAACAAATTGCATCTCCAGCTGTTAAGATTGATGGGAGGGCCTCCTGAAAAACAGCTACCAAGTGTGGCTGATGAACTACATGAAACTATAGTTTGAGATGCTTGAATGTCCCCATTCATCTCCATGGGGAACTGACTGACGCCCACAAACATTTTAAGGACTTTAGCTGCTTCACAGCATGTTTGCACAAAATAATGCAGGCAAAGTTGCACACTTTGAACCTGCAAGGGGCTTCCAGTGTAGGCCAGCCTTGGAAAAGTATACATGGCCTCCCCCCTTCCTGGCTTTGTGGGAAAAAAGGTATAAAATGGGTTCTTTTGGCTGAAATGTCAACCAGTAGGGCAGAAACGTGGATGAAGCAACCACAATAAATTGCCTTTTTAAAAGCTCCCCTATGAAATGTGTTTGCTCACATTCACTCAGGATAATAATCTTCATTGGAAATGGTTTCTCTCCCTGGGGTGGGCAGTGGGTTCTAATTATGATCTGCTTCTGTGCTAAAGCCAAGCAAGGCTCCTTAGCACAAGATTTTTCCTTGTTACAGTGGGAAGGGGAGCACGCAGAGGTAAGGAGGATGGCTAACAGGGAGGATGGCTACCTTGTGTCCCCTGCCTCAGGGGTTCTCATCAATTCCATTCAGAAGCACTTTGCATGGATCCTGCTGCTCCAGGGGAAGGTGGTAGCACCAATGGCTACAGTGCAAGGGAAATAAATACTGGGGTCTGTAGCAAGCAGAGGATCTGAGTAGAAGATGAATAAGCTTGAAAGAAGATCCCAACCCAGCTGCAGGCTCCAGTTTTCTTTCTGGGCCCACAGTGAAGTGCTGATGCTGTGCAGCAACCCAGACAAGGAGTGCTTTCTCCTTTTTCTTTTCTCCCCATTGCCAGTCCCAAAAAATCTGTGTTATGTCATACAAGATGTGATGCAGGACTCTCACTACATCACAGCTGAGGGAACGGGTGGCCACAATACCAGCTTAAGGGCTCTGGGCCCACAAATAGCCCACAGAGAACAAATTCATATTTAATTAGTTTTTTCTCTAGGCAACAGGAAGAAAAGACAACCTTCCAATATTTAGTTAGAAGAGATTAAGTGTCCTTTGTGTCCTATTTGATAGGGCAAAGAACTAGCTGGAATACTTAGTTACAAAGGAGAGAGTTAAGAATAAACAACCTATTTATGAATCTGTCCTGTAAGACCTAGAGTAGGGACACTGGAGAGCTCATGTTTTAAAGTACAAGTTAGAAAAGCTTCCCCACCAACCTATAGAGATGCTTGGGGCTATTTTTTGGCCCTTGTGCTTTGCTGCCTCCAGTCCCCTGGTGTGTAGCGTTTGCTTCAGCAGCTTCTGCCCCCCGGCAGGAGGTGGGCCAGCAACCTCTTGAACCAGCTCTCTCAAGCACATGTCTATGATCTCATGCTAAGCTAAAAGGAGGCTAATCTTAGCATAAATTTGCACTTATCCCATGTTTCATAAGCATAAAATGAAGGTGGAACACAGAGCGCTTGCAGGAAAGCAGCATAGCAGGGAAGATAAAATGTGGGAACTGACAGCAGGCTTGGCAGCATCAGCTCTGGAACCTGCTCCAAGGGAAAGCTTGGCCAAGGTGCTGCAGGTGAAGGAGAGGCATTTCTGGCCAGGCACAGGGTCTGGGGCAGCAGCTGGGGAACATCCCTTCTGACCTCCTGCTTGTGTGTGTGCTCAGGCAAACGTGGCTGCTGATAAATCCTCAGTTGAGTATCATCAAAAGGAAGATTTTAGGAGGCTGTGCAAGCATCTCAAATCCTCTTACAACAATTTAAGCTATTTTGTCTTTGCTGCTGTGACAACCAGGTAATTTTTATATAATTATTCTCCCCTCCAGAAGAACCTGAGAGGTATCAATCTGTCTTTCTCCCCATACATACACAGTACCTGTGTACTACCAGGGCTCCCTCACATCAGTGCACACCTACATCCTGGTTCTCCCAGTTCTCACCAAAATCCAAACGGTTTTAGATTCCCTTCTGATGCAAACAGATGGGCCTTGCAAGCCTCAATTCTGATCTTTTGCAGTCAACTGCAAGTATCTCAATTTCACAGAACAATTCTGGTAGTTTATTTCTTATAGACTACACATATCATCTAGGAAAGGGAAGAAGATTAAACTCACACATACATTGGTGCATTGCAGGAAACTTATTACTGCAATAATCACTTCTACTTGTCAATACCAGGATTGCTGCTGCTTACAGTTCATCACAGAAATAATTCTATATCAATAATCCCAATGCAAACATCAAAACTCAAAAGGCACTTGAAGTATTTACCAGTTTATTTGTATTAGTTAAAAAATTGGCAGCAACTATATTTTTATGTTACAAAATTATTTTTGGCCTCCTGAAAAAAACAACTACAAATGAATTGATCACTATGCACATTGTTCACTCAAAGGGTATCCTTAGGAAATAAGGCTC